TTCTAGGCTTGCTAGACTTCTTGTATTGACCATTCCCTTTATCTTTCTTAATCAATGGATAATATGGTTTATAGTGACCGGCCTTTCCACAATTATAGCATGAACTCTTTGATTTTTATTTCTTACCCTCATCTTGCCTTGAGGAATTTGATTGTCTTCTATAATTAATGATACCTTTGTCTGAGTGCTTCATTCCATTATTCTTGAAATACCTATTGTATCTTATAACAATTAACCGTATTTCTTCATCATCCAAACAATCACTATATCCACTATCATCTTGTTCTTTAGTTGAGGACTTAGAACTAGAACTCATAAGAGAAACTAACTTCTTATCTATCTCTTTTTCCTTGTTCTTATATTTCTTAATCTTCTTCTCATGCTTCTCTAAGAAAATGAGCTCTTGCTCATATTTTTCAAGCTTTCCAAAAAAATTAGTGGTGTCCAATGTTAATATATCATTAGATTCCTTGATTGTGGCAACATTTGGTTGTCATTCCCTATTAAGACATTTGAACACTTTGTTAGTAGAAATTTAGAAACAAGCATACCAAGTGCATTCAAACGATTAACAAGATGAGTGAACCTCTTTTGCATATTGTTAATGGTTTCACCATGCTTCATATAAAAGAGTTCAAACAATTGATTTAAAGTATTGATTCTAGCTTGTTTGACCTCATTAATTCCCTCATGGGCAAATTGCAACGAGTCCCACAAAGCTTTGGCGATTGTGGAATGGGAAACATGGTAATATTCATCAACTCCTAAAGATGATATGAGAATATTCCTTGCTTTACAACCTTACAACCATAATTTATCATCGTTCGCGTCCCATTTTGTTTCCAATTTAAATATAAAAACACCATCAACATTAGTCACGGTAATTTCAAATGGACCATTTTGGACGGCACTCCATTCTTTCCTATCAACAGAATTAAGATGGATACACATAGAATCTTTACAATAACCATAGTTTTCTCCATTGAAAATTAGCGATCTATCATACACCCCTTTAGGTTCAGAAGCCATGATCTAATAAGAAATTTCAAATCACAAGATAAATCGGTGCTCGTGATACCACTTGCTAGACGATAGGCTATGATCTAGAGGGGGGTGAATAGATCACAAATGGAATTTTCTTATTAAAATTAAGTTTCATTTTTTAACTATGGTGCACGGAAACAAACCTGGATTGACAACCGTCTATCTGAACCGTTATCAAAAATACCGAATATGCGTTAAACCGATAGAATAAATACGTAAGATAAGAAAAAAATCAATATATTTTCAGGAACCGCGTTTGAATTTAAATCACACAATAGTAATATATTTCAAATGAAATATCAAACAAAAGCTGATATAAACAATTTCTCGAACACTTGGTGTGCAATCGATTCAAAATTAATTTTTCTATGATTTTGTTGATATGTAAATCCAATTGCAATCACCTAGATTGTAATCAACTCAACAAAATAGTTTGAAATATTAAATAAAGAGATTATTTCATCGTATAAATTACAAAATCAACTTTTTCACAATTTGCAAGTATATATAAATGAGAGAGAGAGAGAGAGACAATAATTTGTTTAAGAAGTTCCCTATGCAGTTTCTCTATGGGTACGTCTTCCTCCAATTTCATTTGGAATTAAGATAATGAAAATTAACCTTTGCAAAATATTGTTTACAAGAGAATAAGTAGCAATGCAACTCTCCAAACCCTAACTTTGATGTTGATATTATCATCTTCTTTTCCCTTGATCAGAGCTCAATCAAGTAACTGGATACTTCCAATTTGATCCTCCGATTGTCGCTACTCCTTTGACAGAACCCATGTTCTTCAAAGTCTTCACTTGGCTGAATCCAAATTACGAAGATGTCGTGACTCAAGTTTACCAAAGTGATCCTCCAGTTACCGTTACTCCTTTAACAGAAACCCATGTTCTTCAAATCTTTCACTCGGCTGAATCCAAATTGCACAATCTTATGCAAAACTCCCAAATCAATCCTTGATCTTGGAAGGAAACCTTAAACTATTTATGTTGAAACCCCCAAAGATCTTTTAACCTAATTGATTACATCGAATCCTAATTGGACGTCATCAAACTATCTCTTGATCATACACAAAAAAATGATTATGTGTAGTTGTTGTGTGTATGTAATGAGAGGGGATGAAGATGATGAAAATATTTATATATTTTTTGTTTCAATAATGAGAAATGATGCATGAATGACTATATATGTGTGAGTGTGTGAAATAATGAAATAGAAAAAATAGGTTTGGAAAATTACAAATTTGGATATTTTGAACAGTGGGAGTCGACTTATTTGAGGTGGGAGTCGAATCCTAAGGGAAAGGGAGTTGACCCATACTTTCTGGGAGTCGACTCCAAGTGGATATACGGTTTTGAGAAAATTCGACTTCAGAAAGAGTCGAGACATACCACGTGGGAGTCGACTCCTTCGTGTTATGTATCGACTCTAGATGTGTGGCAGTCGGTCCATCCTGAATAGGTTTTGAAAATAAAAAATATCTTTTAGTGGAAGTCGACCCACAGCTCGAGGGAGTCGACTCCTTAGTTTCGTGTGTCGACTCCAAGACCCCTATGTATCGATTCCTTTTTTTTATAGAGAGTTTTCTTTCAAAATGCTTTCAGTAGGAGCCGACTCCTAACATGAATGAGTCGACTCCAAACATGTTTTTTCAAAAAAAAAAAGCATATTTTTATCCTTTTTAACTGTTCAAATGCTTTTGACTCGTTCCATAAGTGCCTTAAGATCAAAATGCAACCTAGACATAGAGAAATAATATCCAATAAATAAATACTACATATTAACTAGTTTTAACATCATTCAAAACATCTAAGAAATAATACTGAACTCGCGCATGATAGAATAACGACATACAATATGACAAAAAATAAAAAATAAAAAAATGATATGAGACTCGCGACATATTTATCCTATCATATGCACACATGATAAGAAACATTATATTTTTTATAAAATAAATTACTAATTTATAAATATCAACACTTTTACTTATATAAATACATAAATAAAAATAAATATTGCTGTCAATATATATACTTATTTATTAATGATTTTATATATAAATTAAAATTTTGTTACTTAGTAGGTTGAATTTAATTTTCTAAAAGTTTATAAATTTAATTAAATACTTTTAAAATTTTAATATACCTTGTTTATTGATTGAATTTAAAATACTAAAATTATTATTTTTAAATTATAAATAATTGTTCATAAATTTAACTAAACTAACACATATCATTTGAACTATCACATCACTCTTATATTATATATTTGGTGAATATATATATATATATATATATATATATATATATATATATATATATATATATATATATATATATATATATATATATATATATATATATATATATATATATATATATATATATATATATATATATATATATATATATATATATATATATATATATATATATATATATATATATATATTTAATGACTAATAGCCGATGTTTGATGACATATTATTGATAAATTAATTGATGTTTTTGGTAAAATAGTGATTCAAATAGTTGATAAATATAAAATGATATTATAAATTTTATCGGCAAACGACGGATAATAGAGTAGGAGTAAACATCAATAAAGAACTAAGATGAATTTAACGGAGGATGAGAATGAAGCAAGGTGAAATGGAAGCGACAAAAGAAAAGATAAAGAAATTGTAATAAAAGATTTATAACTTTTTTTTTAAATATAAAGTTTGACTTTTTATATTTTTATATTTAAAACATATTTATTTTATTTTAAAATATTATTAAATAGTAAAAGTTAAAAATAAATTTTAATTAAAATAATAAGAATAAAACTAAAAAAAAAATAAGATAAAAGTTACTTAAAATAGTCTTTGAAAAAATACACAATTTAATAAAAAAAAAGTTAGAAATTAGAAGATAAAAATGAGTTATCAAACATAACTTTTTTATTTATACTTTTTTATTTATAATATAAATAAAGATAAAAATTAAAAGCTAATATCTAATTTTTTCGTATAAACCAAACATAATTTAAAGACAGATAAGAGATTTTTCACTTTAATCATAAGTTTTTTTTATATTTTAGACATGTATACGTGTTAAATTCTTTTGGAAAATAATTTATCATCTATTGTAATTTTCGTCAAATCAATTGATAATACATATTGTTATACACAAAGGACAAGGTTTTTCAAGAAGAAAAATAGTATAATTATTAGGAAAAAACTTATCTATAATTTTATAAGTGTGATTTTATTATTTTCTAATCAAAATATAATAAATATAATTTTTTAATGAGTAAAAATAGAAGAAAACTATATATTTATAAAAAAAAATTATACATTTAATATATTTGTATTGAAAAATAATAAAAATTACACCTATAAAAATATATTTAAGTCTAATAACATCAATTTTTTATTTTATGCAAGACTAAAAAAAATCTACCTAATAACATGATAATAGTTTATTAATTTAATAATAAAGCAAGTTTATTTTGTGACATTAGAACTTAGAAGTGTAATGGTGGATGCAAAGCAAACATTAGATGTAACCTTCAAGTTTCAACTTTTTCCTGATATGGTTTGTTTCTCCTCCTACGTGTACACTTGTCTTTATTTCTCATTAATTAATTCTCATTCTAGAAAAAAGATAAAACCACACTCTTTATTTTACTCTTTTTTCTTCATTTGTCGGTTCATTATTCTCTTCTCAAAAATTTTACAACACAAATTGATCACCATTTTATTTTATTTTTCTTTTCTTTTTTTTTATTTTTGCTCTCACTTCTTTCACAAGTAACGCCTCTACTCGTTTACTGAATGAATTTCATAATCCTCAAAAGTGAGACTCAACATTAACATTGGCTATTTATATGTTTTGGTTTGATTGTTGATTTTGGATTTCGGATTTTGAACTGAGTTTGTGTTGTTGGGGAAGAAGCGGTTAGAAATGCGGCGTCGGGCTGCCGAGTTTCGGCGCCCGATTCGACGGAAGTTGTCTTATGGGATCTGCTTTCTGCTTGGAGCTTTCTCTGTTGTCGGTTTGGTTTTGTTTTTTCTTCAACATAATTACCATGAAGATCGGGTCAAACATCCTCTTCTGGTACCGACATTACTTGCTCTCTTTTTTTCTTTTCTTAATCTAGTTTTGTTTCTTATGCAAATACCTCTAAAACCTTATATTCTTGTTTGCTGATTTCATATATCGCTTCATATTTGTTCAAATTCATTTTTTTCTAAATGCTTTGTTTTCATCATACTTATGCTATCAATGAATGATCTATTCGTTTACGAGTCTCTCTGTTGGTTAGTTACAGTTCAACCGTCACAATTTAAATAGCCCCTGTATACTTGTGCTTTAACCATACGGCAGGTCTATTATCCTGAAAAATTTGAGGCCATGTGCTATAACTCATCTTGCACGCCCTCGATGACGGTCCAGGCACGAACCAATTTAAAGTATTCTGATTTTCAATAACAATCTATCACTCGTTTAGTTAATTTGACAAGTTTCTAGATATCTAGTTATGTTACATAAAAAATCTAACTTTCAAGATTGTGTTACAACTTGGAAGCTTTTGTCTAATTTAATTACATCATTTTTCCCTCATTAAAAATATATCCTTTTTGAAAAATCTTCTTCATGAATATAGTGTTAGTTATACAAATTTGCTTTTATACATGATAAATGGTGCAATTAAAGAGTAACTCATATGTCTAAATCAAACTTTGAAGTTGAGTAAATGGTCGCTTAAGCCATGATTCATGAAATCAAAAAATATGGTAAGTGTGTGCCTTTAAACCGATGCATTAGAAAATAATCCAGATATCTCAAAACTATGTGATTGTAACTGTAAATTCTACAACAATTTTGCATTGCCATGACGGCTATGTTCTTCTTTCGAAGTTATGTTACGATTTAGGTGATATTGCTATTTTCTGTTGAAACTATTTCTTTAACCAATACCGCTTTTGTTCTTACTGAATAAGTTACTTATTGCAGGAGGGAAACAAAAATGTAGAACATTTTGCTAAGGATAGATTGAATTTTACCGAAGAAATTTCAAGTGCAACATCTTTTTCAAGGCAATTAGCAGAGGAAATGGTTCTGGCCAAAGCTTACGTGGTTATCGCAAAAGAACATAATAATCTTCATCTAGCATGGGAGCTAAGCTCAAAGATTAGAGCTTGCCAGCTTTTGCTGTCGAAAGCTGCCATGGCCGGAAGGCTTGTCACGAAGGAGGAAGCCGAACCGATAATTAAAAGCCTATCTTCTTTGATTTTCAAGGCGCAAGATATCCATTATGACATTGCAACCACTATAGTTACAATGAAATCGCATATTCAAGCTCTTGAAGAGCGAGCGATTGCAGCGTCAGTTCAAAGCAATGTGTTTGCTCAAATATCGGCCGAAGCATTGCCGAAGAGTCTTCATTGCTTAGATGTGAAACTTAGTGCTGATTGGTTAAAGAAACCTTCTCTGCAAAAACTCTCAGATGAGACGAGAAACTCGCTCCGGCTTACGGATCAGAATCTATACCATTTCTGCATCTTTTCGGATAATGTACTGGCAACGTCGGTCGTTGTTAACTCTACAGTCCTCAATGCTGAGTATCCAATGCAGTTAGTTTTTCATATTGTAACCGATGGTGTCAACTATGGAACAATGCAAGCATGGTTCCTCGGTAACGACTTTAAAGGTGCTACAATAGAAGTGCAGAATGTCAAAGATTTTCATTGGCTGAATGAATCTTATTCTCCGATTGTCAAACAGCTTCTCAATTCAGAATCTCGAGCCTTTTATTTCGGAGCATATCCAGATGTAAACCCCGAACCGAAACTGCGGAACAACAAGTTTTTGTCTTTACTAAACCATCTTCGGTTTTACATCCCCGAGATTTATCCACAGCTTGAAAAGATTGTTTTCCTCGACGACGACGTTGTTGTCCAGAAAGACCTAACACCACTTTTCTCACTTGAATTGCATGGAAACGTAATCGGTGCGGTCGAAACCTGTCTTGAAGCATTTCACCGGTACTACAAGTATCTCAACTTCACAAATTCAATCATAAGCTCAAAGTTCGATCCACAGACATGCGCGTGGTCATTAGGCATGAATGTGTTTGACTTGATTCAATGGAGGAAATCAAATGTGACAGCAGTATATCACTACTGGCAAGAGCAGAATGCCAACGGGACGCTGTGGAAGCTCGGTACACTTTCTCCTGCACTTCTTAGTTTTTATGGTTTGGTGGAACCACTTGACAGAAGATGGCATGTATTAGGATTAGGTTATGACCTAAATATCGATAACCGATTAATTGAAAGTGCGGCTGTTATTCACTTCAATGGTAACATGAAACCATGGCTGAGATTATCTATAAGCAGGTATAGGCCACTATGGCACAAGTACATAAATCAAAGTCACCCTTATTTTCAAGAATGTGCTATAGGTTAAAATACAAATACTTCTTGATTGCTTATAGATTATTCTATCACAGATTATTGTAGAGTCAGAAGTAGATTATTTTGACTTAAAATTACAATCTCTTGAAATAGAAAAGAATAAAGTTTTTGCCATTGTTGTTTTTATTTCCTTTTTACCTTTGCTTTTGCAGTCACAGTTCCTTGAAATAGAATCCTTCACTCCTAAGGTTTGAATCTAACAGTCTCTCTGACAATGATATATAGTTATTGTGTCATGTAGTATATATTCACGTGAATTAAATTCTAATAAAGACCTTTTTTGACAACACTGTCTAAGATATAGCAATGTCTAACGTATTGCTAATTCAATCTCATTGCTAAATAATAAGTTATATGACTCATGAGAGGTGGTTGGAGAGGTAAACATCAATGCCAGTTAATTTTTTATTTATAATACTTCATGATGAAAGCTACTAACAATTAAGGCCTTTATGACCATAGATACTTTGCAATAACTTGTAGACTTCAAACTAGAACCCAAATTTTCAACACACAATAGACAATATCATGGTGTGGTAATATAATACCATATATAACTATTAAAATAATAATGACAACTATATAATAGTTTAATTTATGTGATTATCATTTTTAAAACATTACCATTTTAATAATATATAATGATTATATTTGTTTGTTTATCAAAATTTAAAGAGAAAATAAGAGATACACTCACGTGATAAAATTATTTTACACTATCAATTAATGAATATCTATTCGGTCAAATCACCTTTATATTTTAAAATTATATAAATGACATGGTAGACTGTTGCTTTATTATTGGACGACGGTGTAAAATTATTTTACACAGTTAGTGCATGTCCATTAAACTCAAATTTAAAATGTTGTCGAATTGACCATCAAATTTGATATAACGAAATGTTTTAGGTTTATACATCATGATAAACCATATTTTGATTTTCAAATAAAAAATGTGTTCACATTTGTTTTGGACTGGGCCAACAACTATACACGGTCCAATCCACTACTACTCCAGGATGGCTCAAAAGCATTGATCAAATCGGCCTAGGACTAGCAAAGGGCACATTTCCCTTATGCTCGACAATTATGATCACATGGTCGATTGACTCCCGACTCAACAAGACCACGACTACCCTCGACCATGTTTCTGCCCACGACAACGACTAGTTTCGAGCATCTCTGCTTGAAATAACAGCTAGTTGCGAGCACCTCCTCTCAAGATAACGGGTACGTGTTGTTCGTTCCTGCTTTCACGCAGAAATCCTAATAGTTACCTATTTGAGAGCCTAATATCCAGGTTCAAAAATAGGAACCAATGGCCAAGCGCCGGAGACATTATATAAACATTCACACTTGTGAAGGTAAGGTATCGAATATCCAATTCTTAAACCCAATATTCTCTCTTGTATCTCTTTGTACCCTTATTTACTTGAGCATTAGAGTGTCTTGCAGGTACACTCTCTTCTCTGTGATTCCAACGTTGTAGACGTAAATATCGACCCATTATAAATTTTGATCATTAGTAAGATCAGTGATGTCGTTTGTGGAAAGCTTATTTTCCCCATCTTTCTTTCCTCCAAAACCAAAGAACAAAGTAATGTTTTAAGATTCAGACCATGAACGATCAAGATGACAGCCACCTCGTTGAAAAAACCGTTATCTTCCACGTCCGCAAGATTGACGATGACAGAGAGATGCCTATCCTTGAAGATATCCCTTTGAAGAGAGACGACTGCATCGCGTCTCCCTATTCCGATGATGCAGAGGACGACGACCTCCAGTTCTTGGAAATCAGAAAATCCAAGAAAGTCTAAGAAACACCAGTGATCTTCCAGCCGGTATTGGTGTCGACCAATGCTGACCCAACTATGGCGGCCTTACTCGTAGCACTGAATCAAACCAACGCTCTAATCATATTCTAGAACGATAGGATTTGAGCATTAGAAAAGGGACTCCATTTAAGATCTCCTTCGTGAAGACACCGAGAACGCGAGTCTCGCAGCCCATCACGGCAGTGACTAAGTCGTCGCTCAGTTCAGGAGAAGCCAGAGGTTTCATCTGTCAAGAAACAAAACCACACTCTGCCCCGCAAGGACCGAATCTCCCCGATAATGAAGAATACCAAGGGCAATCGACGAACAAAAACTGTCGTTCGCCCTTCCCCAAGCCAAAATACCGTCCGAGAAGCCCGACTCCCCGTCGAGTTGATAACCCTCACAGGGGAAAAAGCAATTATTCTCCACTTCAATCATCAGGGTGGAGTGATAAAGACGACCCATGCAGTCTATTATCACGGGCAATCATAGAAACTCCTCCACCAGTCGGGCTGGAAAAGCCTCAGAACTTGGGGATGTAGGACAAAACTACGGATTTAGACGAGCATATCTAGAATATCGATGCCCTGCTCAATTACCGAGGCGTCAAGGGCACCATCAAATATCGACTTTTCCCCACCACTTTAAGGAATGGAGCTATGGCATGGTACAAAAGCCTCTCCGACGACTCTATCACATCCTAGAGGAATCTCTAGAAGTAGTTCTCCAAAAAATTTACGGCCTCTCACCGCCACCTGAAATCAGAGGCATCACTGGAGGCAATCATACAGGGGAAGGACGATCCCCTTTGGGAGTACAGAGAGAGACTCAATCGTGAAGTTGTCTAGGTCTCCAAGACTGACGATATGAAAAAATATTTGCTTGAGTGTGTGATGCGTCCCTGTAGCCACTTTGCAAAGGCAATTGGCATCGAGATACCGGCCTCACTAGACACCTTCCTCCTCAAAGGCCAGGCGTATATCCAGTACGAGGAGAAAGAAGCTTTTAATAATGTTCGATACTCACGACATCAGGAGAATGCCAAAGTTTCAAAACACGACGATTCCTTGAAATTTCATTGGGGAGCCGATAAAAAGAAAGAGGACAGAGCCCATGAACCTCGAGATTATAAAGGGCTAGCTGGCCGATTCCCTGAATACACATGTCTGACTTCTTTGCGTAAGCCCATCTTGTCCGATTGTGCAAGCTCAGAATTTTTCCAGGTCGGGGTCCGCTTTCCCCTGCATATGCCTTCTAAGCCTAACACGAACAAAATAAAGTACTTTTGGTTCCACAAGAGCCATTAGCATGTGACCGAGGAATGCATTCATCTCAAGGATGCGATTGAGATCCTGATCAGGGACGACCATCTAAAGCAGTATAAGAAGAAAGATGGTGCTCATGAAGACCCCCTAAATCGGAAAAGGTCGAGGAGGAGAAACCATCTTCCGATGATGCCAATCTACAGGTCACGGTGTGTATTTTACGACCATATGATTTTTTTCTCTTCTTTTGTGTTATGACATAACAACTATAATCTCTCTTCTTACTACCATATTATTTAATGGGCCTAATTCTATTCTTCACATTTCTATCATAATATAAGCCCAACTCATAATCATTTCTATTCTCACTCATAAGCCAAAATATTCAAATAACACATGTATCTAAATATTTCAAATAGTCACCAAAACACATAATTTAATTAATTATCATATAATATAATGATTAATAAAATAATAAAATAATACTAAATAAAAATTGGGATGTTACAACTCTCTCCCACTTAAAATATTTTCGTCCTCGAAAATTACCTCAAACAAACAACTCAGGATAGGAATCCATCATCTTGCTCTCTAACTCTCAAGTCACATTACCGTATGCCGGTCCTCCCCAAACAACTTTTACCAAAGTGATTTTTTTAGCTCGAAGTTGTTTCACCTTTCGATCCTCTATCTGCGTAGGTGATGTCTCAACAGTCAGGTTATCTCTCACCTGAACATCATCTAACTGTACAACATGAGACATATCCACAATATACTTTTTCAACTGAGACACGTGAAACACATCATGAAGATTAGCAAGTGACGGCGACAAATGGATCTGATAAGCCACTTCACCTACTCTCTCAGCAATCTGATACAAACCAATAAAACACAGTGTTAACTTATGCGACTTTAAAGCTCTATCAACACCAGTTATCAGAGTAACCCTCAAAAACACATAATCTCCCTTCTCAAATTCAAGATCCTTCCTCCTCTTATCATGATAACTCTACTGACAACTCTGGGAAGTCCTCATCTTCTCCCGAATCATCTTAATCTTATTCATAGTCTGTTGAACTATCTCAGGTCTAACCACAACACTCTCTCCAGATTCATACCAACACAAAGGCGTCATACACCTTCTACCATACAAAGCCTCAAACAGTTCCGTTCCAATACTCGAATGGAAACTGTTGTTATAAGTAAACTCAATCAAAGGCAATTAATTACCCCAATTACCTTCTTTATCCAACGCATAAGCTCTCAAAAGATCTTCAAGTGACTGAATTGTCCTCTCAGTCTGACCATTTTTTTGCGGATGATACGCCAAACTCAAACATAACTTCATACCCAAAGCACTTTGCAAACCTTCCCAAAAATGCGAAGTAAACCTCAGATCTTTATCGGAAAAAATACTCGATGGAACACCATGCAAACTTACAACTTTCTCAATATACAACTTAGAAAACTTCTCCATCGAATAATCCATCTTAATCGGAACCAAATGAGAAGACTTTGTTAATCTGTCAAATATGACCCAAACTGCATCACAATTATTCGGAGTCTTCGGGAAACGCAAAACAAAATCCATAAGAAATAATGTCCCATTTCCATTCAGGAATAAACAACGGCTACATTAAACCGGTTGGTTTCTGATGTTCAATCTTAGACTTCTGACAAAACAAACAAGAATACACAAACTCTACAATATCCTTCTTCATACCAGACCACCAAAATAGTTTCCTTAAATCTTGATACATCTTAGTAGCTCCAAGATGAATACTCAAACCACTACGATGCTCTTCATCAAGAATTATTTTCTTTAAATCTCCCACATCAGGAACACAACCTCTATCACGACACCTCATGATACCATTCTCATCAATCAAAAAATCACCACCCCGGCCTTG